CACCTCATGAGGCGGCTTCCAACCATGGAGCAATCCTCCTGACCCTTGTCTCTACTGTCCTGGGGTGTCCGTCTTCTATCATGTTATTTTACATTCCACCAATGAACACAGTTCCTTCTATGTCTGTCCTTCTCCTTCTGACTCAGTTCACTCAGCATGAGACTCTCCATGTCCCTCCACTTATAAGCAGATTTTATGACTTCATCTCTGTTCATGGCAGTTCCTTTTCCCCGGTGCTGGAATCCTGAGGCCCAAGGTCCCCAGCTCAAGGTCCCACCCGAGCTCTGAAGAGAACGATACTACATCACAGGAAGTGTCTGTGGGGAGGCGTTAGCTGGAAGGAGTCATGAGTTTCTGAGTGTCCCTCGTCCATTTTTTGCCCATCACGTTTCACACTCGAGTGACACCCAGTGGGTGCAGACGCCACCAGTGGGACTCTCCGAAGTGAGCACATGGATGGCCCCTGAATAACACGCTGACCTTCTCTTGTGATCCCTGGGGGACGTGCAGGGGACTTGGGGGCCGTGTGGATGCTGGTTTGCTGCCGTGCTCAGAGCAAGTGACCACACGGTGGCTCCAGATACCAAGAATCCACCCTATGCATCCTGCAACTCTGTTCTCTGGAGTCCCAGGCTGACTCCCTGTCCAGGCTCTCGGCTACTCCAGGGCTGCGTCCTTCCTGTCTCTGTCTTCGTCTGCCCCGGATTTCCCCTCTAGGTCTGAGTTTCCTTTGTCTCTCTCTGGGCAGGACTCTGGGGCAGGCAGGGAGGCCCCCCGCCTGCAAAGATTCATTCCCCAGTAAGTTTATAGGACAGAGCTCCCTTAGTGGAGACCCCATTTCTTTCTTCTTTTTTTCAAATTTTTATTGTTTTATTTTGTCATTATTGCCTTTTTTTTTTTTCAATTTTTATTAGTGAATCGCCCTGAGGTACAGTTGTAGACTTATGAATTTTTGTGCTTGGGTTTCAGTTATACAATGATCGAGTACCCATCCTTCGACCAGTGCCCATTTCCCACCACCAAGGATCCCAGTATCCCTCCCACCCCCCATACCCCCCCAGCCCACCCTGCCTCTGTGGCCATTGTGTTCGGCCTATAGTCTATTTTCAGGACGCATCTCCCATCCCGAGTGGGCCCTCCCAGCACCCTTTACTTGGTGGTCCCGTCTCTATCTGAGCTGCCTTTTGTGAAGACCCCATTTCTACCTGCTGCGTCTGTGGGCCACGCTGAGCTTGGACACCATCCACGAGTCTGGATTCCGGGAACAATAGTCCCTTCTCCTTCTGTTTTGGACTTGAAGGTCTAGTTCCCGGAGGGTACCAGGAGGTGGTGCTGAGGGTCCCATGTTGGAAAGATGAAAATAGAACGAGGAATATCTGTGTATTTATCACGAGATGGGGAATCGTCTTCCTCTTCCTCCTCCTCCTTCTTCTCTTCCTCCCCCCTCCTCCTTTTTCTCTTCTCCTCCTCCTCTTCTTTTTCTTCTTCTTTTTTTCTTTTTTGCTTTTTAGGTCACACTGGGTGATGCTCAGGGGTTCCTTCAGGGGTTACTCCTGGCTCTGCACTCAGGAATCCCTCCTGGCGGTGCTCGGGGGACCCTATGGGATGCTGGGAGTCGAACCCGGGTCGGCCGCGCATGCCAGGCCAACGCCCTCCCCACTGTGCTATCCCTCCAGCCTGCAATCTCACCTTCTGTCTCTTTACATACGCCTTTTGGAAATAGAAGTTTTGCAGATCACAAACCGGGATGCAGTGGGCGGTGGGGAGGGGTTGCCTTGGTGGGAAGCCGCCTTGGGGTAAATCTCACCTCCTTGGAGATGCAGTTAGTGTGCAGAGACATGAGCCTTGGCTTCCGACATGCTCTGGGCTACATAAGTCTCTCCCCAACACTACACACACGCAGAGAGAGAGAGAGAGAGAGAGAGAGAGAGGAAGGGAGGAAGGGAGAGAGGGAGGAATGGAGGGAGGAAGGAAGGGAGGGAGAGAGAGAGGGAGGGAAGGAGGGAAGGAAGGAGGGAGGGAGGGGACAGAGGAAGGAGGGAGAGAGAGTGCCCGCAAAGCCGAAGCAGCCCTCGGATTCAACCATCAGCTTCCCTTCCCTCCCTCCAATCATCTCCCGAGCCCGTTGGATGCCACTTAGGTTGGTTACAGAGAACAAACGGAGACCGTTGTCTGACAGAGACGTCTAACATCTAACAGCCAACACCAGATGGGCACCTCCGACCCACGCCCGACAGATATCAGTCACCCAGAACGAGGCACACAAATGCTCATGGACTGTCCAAGCGTTACGGCCGCCGGGACAGTCCCCCCTGGCCTCACAGGATGGTCATTCATGCAGGACCACGTTGCTCCCCGAACTGCATGTGAACTGTGCGTTTTTTGGTTTTTCGTTTTTTGCTTTTTGGGTCACACCCAGCGATGCTCAGGGCTGACTCCTGGCTCTGCACGCAGGAATGACTCCTGGCGGTGCTCGGGGGACCCTATGCGATGCTGGGATGGAACCCGGGTCGGCCGCGTACAAGGCAAACGCCCTCCCCGCTGGTGCTCCAGCCCCTGAGCTGTGGTGTTTTTCATTGACAGACGCGTTGAGGACCCTTGAGTTTCCACGTCCACATTGATGGGTCCATGCAGAGCAGAGGGCGTGGTATTGACGCAAACAACCGACGGCATCTAAAAAGGCCCGCAGTGACCCTTGATGCTGTGCTATGTTGGGCACACTTTCCTTTGTCCTCTTATCTCTTCTTTCTTTCTTTCTTTCTTTTTCTCTTTCTTTCTTCCTTTTTCTTCCTTTCTCTTCCTTTCTTTCCTTTCTTTCTCTTTCTTTCCTTTCTCTTTCTTTCTTCCTTTTTCTTCCTTTCTCTTCCTTTCTTTCCTTTCTCTTTCTTTCTTCCTTTTCCTTTCTTCCTTTCTTCCTTTCCTTTCTTTCTTCCTTTTTTCTTTCTTCCTTTATTCCTTTCCTTTCTCTTTCTTTCTTCCTTTTTCTTCCTTTCTTTTTCTTTCTTTCTTCCTTTCTTCTTTTTCTTTCTTCCTTTATTCCTTTCTCTTTCTTTCCTCCTTTCTTTCTTTCTTTCTTTCTTTCTTTCTTCCTTTTCTTTCTTTCTCTTTCTTTCTTTCTTTCCTTTTCTTTCTTCCTTTCCTTTTTCTTTCTTTTCTTCCTTTTCATTCTTTTTTTTTTTAAAAAAAATTGAATCACCATCAGAGACGCAGTTACAGAGATCTTCATAGTTGGGTTTCTGTCATACAATGTTCCAACATCCGTCCCTTCACCAGTCCACATTTTTCACCACCAACGAACCAATGTCCTCAGTTTCTCTCCTACCTTCCGCCTGTTTGTTTATATGGCAGACACTTTTCTTCTCTCTATCTCTCTCTCTCTCCTCTCTGTCTGTCTCTGTCTCTGTCTCCGTCTCTGTCTCTGTCTCTCTCCTCTCTGTCTGTCTCTGTCTCTTTCTCTGTCTCTCTCTCTCCTCTATGTCTGTGTCTGTGTCTGTGTCTGTCTCTTTCTCTCTCTCTGTCTCTCTGTCTCTGTCTCTGTCTCTGTCTGTCTGTCTGTCTGTCTGTCTGTCTCTCTCTCTCTCTCTCTCTCTCTCTCTCCCCCGACCCCATGGGTGTTATGGTTCGCAAACAGATATCGAAAGGTTCTCATGCGTATCCCTCTACCTCCTTTCAGCACTCAGTTCTTGTCCAGAGTGACCGTTTCCAACTATCATGGCCACAGTGATCCCTCGTCTATCCCACCTGCCTTCTCCCCCAGCCCTGGAGACAGGCTTCCAACTGCGGATCCATCCTCCTGGCCCTTGTTTCCACTGTCCTTGGGAATTAGTCTCATTCTGTGATTTGTTTTTTCATATTCCACAAATGAGTGTAATTATTCCCTGTCTGTCCACTTATAGCACTGTCGCACTGTCCTCCCATTGTTCATCGATCTGCTCGAGCGGGCCCAGTAACGTCTCCATTGGAGACTTTGTTGTTACTGTGTTTGGCATATCGAATATGTCACGGGGAGCTTGCCAGGCTCTGCCGTGTGGGCAAGATACTCTCGGGAGCTTGCCAGGCTCTCCGAGAGGGGCGGAGGAATCGAACCTGGGTTGGCCAGGTCTGCCGCAGGCAAGGCAAATGCACTACCCACTGGGCTATCGCTCCAGCCCTCTGGGCTAGGAAACTTTATGACTTCATTTCTCCTACAACTGTGTAGTGTTCTGTTGTGTAAGTTGTACCATCGTCCCTTTATGCAGTCATCTTTTCTTTGGGAACTTGGGTTGTTTCCAGATTCTGGCTCTGGTGAACAGTGCTGCAATGAACATAGGCGTGCAGATGGTATTTTGACTGTGTGTTTTGGGGCCCTGGAGGTATACTCCCAGACCCATTTCAAAATTCTGAGACCTAAGCTCTTTTCCCTAGGGACACAGCGCATCCTTATTTTTTTCAGTTAGAGGGTCTGATTTCCTACAGGCAATGGAGAAGCGACAGTCATGCTTTGGATCACGGGTCCAGAAAATCTCCAAACCACTGCAGGGCGTTGGTCTAAGAATAGATTCCTTCTGGGGCTGGAGAGATAGCCCAGCGGGGAGGGCGTTTGCCTTGCACGCGGCCAACCCGGGTTCGATTCCCAGCATCCCATAGGGTTCCCTGAGCACCGCCAGGAGTCAATCCTGAGTGCAGAGCCAGGAGTCACCCCTGTGTATCGCCAGGTAGTAGAGGCCCCTCCCGTTGATCATCGATTTGCTCGAGCGGGCCCAGTAACGTCTCCATTGGAGACTTTGTTGTTACTGTGTCTGGCATATCGAATACTCTCGGTAGCTTGCCGGGCTCTCCGAGAGGGGCGGAGGAATCGAACTCGGGTCGGCCATGTTGGCCATATCGCCAGGTATGACCCAAAAAGCAAAATTTAAAAAAAGAATGGATTGCTTGGATTCCTTCTTCTGAAATGGTCGCCACTGAGCCCCTCATGCTCCACATTTTCTTGCCCCTGAAGACGGGACTGTTTTCTCTCATAGGTTTCCTCCCTTCTTCGATGACAACCCCTTTGGCATCTATCAGAAAATCCTCGCGGGCAAAATAGATTTCCCCAGACATTTGGACTTCACCGTCAAGTGAGCACACACGTTCTTATTCTTTCACGGGAACGGGGGGTGAATGTTGACGTCCCTTTTGTGTTTTCGAGGGGTGGGGCAGGGCTTGGCGTATCCCCTGTTTTACTTATTTACTTATTTTTCATGTTTTTATTGATTGAGGGTCTGCAATTGACAGCACCATTATCGGTGGATTCCCAGGTCTGTCATTCCTTGTTCCAACCCCACATTCCACAGATCTCAACATGCCTCTCTCTCTTTTTCTTTTTTTGGCTGTGAAATAGGAGATGAACAGGGCTGGAGCAATAGCACAGCGGGTAGGGCATTTGCCTTGCACGCGGCCAACCCAGGTTCTATTCCCAGCATCCCATACGGTCCCCTGAGCACCACCAGGGCTAATTCCTGAGTGCAGAGCCAGGAGAAACCCCTGTCCGTTGCCAGGTGTGACCCAAAAAAAGAAAAAATATAGGAGATGAACAATTTCATTTATTTTTTAAAAATCGTTTCTTAACATAACGGTCTTTCTTCAGCACCCCGTGCATTACCAAGTATTCTTATCACAAGCAGTACAATGGTATCACAGCATCCAATTTTCATCTTTTTAAAAATTTTTTTTTAATTAGTGAATTGAGAATTGTCCTCCCATTGTTCATCGATTTGCTCGAGCGGGCCCAGTAACGTCTCCATTGGAGACTTTGTTGTTACTGTGTCTGGCATATCGAATATGTCACGGGGAGCTTGCCAGGCTCTGCCGTGCGGGCGAGTTACTCTCGGTAGCTTGCCGGGCTCTCCAAGAGGGGCGGAGGAATCGAACTCGGGTCGGCCACATTGGCTGCGTGCAAGGCAAACGCCCTACCACTGTACTATCACTCCACATCGCTAAATAAAAATTTTTTAATTAGTGAAATGACCTCTTATTGTCTAGTTCTCACTCTTAGAGAACCCAGCAGGCTACCAAGAGTTTCCTGCCCGCATAAATTCCTGACTGGGAACACCTGTAAAGGTGATTAGAGGCCGCCCCCAAAGCCTCCATCCCTCTCGGAGAGCCCGGCAAGCTACCGAGAGTATCCCGCCCACACAGCAGAGCCTGGCAAGCTACCCGTGGCGTACTCAATATGCCAAAAACAGTCACAATGATGGTCCTCATTCCCCTGACCCTGAAAGAGCCCCCAATATGCCATCGGGCTACACTAGCAAGTGACAGGGATGAATGGAGACGTTACTGGTGCCTGTTCGAGCAAAGTGATGAACAATGGGGTGACAATGATAGTGATACTGATAGTGAAACACCATGAGGTACAGTTGTAGACTTACAAACGTTCGTGCTTGGTTTTCAGTTCTACAATGATCGAGTACCCATCCCTCCACCACTGCCCATTCTCCACCACCACCAATGATCCCAGTATCCCTCCCACCCCCATCTCCCCCATCCCACCCTGCCTCTGTGGCAGGGCATTCCCTTGTGCTCTCTCTTTCCTTGAGGGTGTTGTGGTTTGCAACCGAGGAGTCAACATGCCTCTCTCTTAACTGTTCTCCCAACTCATTTCTCCCGGTGGGTCACCGTTTAGTGGGGAACAGTTTTCCCCAACATGCCCAGGCACGTTGCACACTGGGTCCGAGCAGACGTGGGGCAAAGGATGATGGAATCGCAAAGAAACCCCCTCCGGGAACAGCTGATGGTTGTTGACTTTATTGCCAAACACACACGTTTGTTTGATAGAGGGTCTCGACGTACAGGAAGGTCCAATCCCATCAAGTTCAGCATGATGGGCCTGTGAGGTCTCCTACTCTGCTCTGTCCTGGTCCAGTCCCAACCCAGGCTAGATGATGCAGTTCGGATGACCTGCTCAGCGCACGTGACACAGTTTCTGTGTCTTTGGCGCCTGTGACTAGGAGGTCGAGTGAGGCTCAAGGCCGGACACTTGGTGCTGACTGACTCCCTGTTCTTGCCAACTTGGGCCAGATACTCCCTTCTGTGAGGCTTCCCTTCTGGGCGGCTTTGCAAGGTCGGGTCTTGTCTGCTCCAGTGCCCGTCACCATGCTCCACAACCATTGGCCACTTGTTCCTCCCTGGCTGTGTAGCTCTAACTTCACCCCTTTGTGAGATCCTCCTGCATTTGTCCCTCTTCTCCTGACTGGCTTCCCTCAATCTGAGGGAAATCGGTTCCGTCCACCTGGCTGTAAATGACCCAAAACTCTCCACGGTGCATCTGTGTTCATCACTGCGCATAGCACAATAGCCAAGATACGGGAACGCCCCAAATGCCCAATGTGGGATGAATAGATCGAGAAGTTGTGGGAAAACTGGATGACGGAATACTATGCAGCTCTAACAAAGAACAGAATCATGCACTTGGGCACAGCATGGATAGAACCAGAGAAGATCATGCTGGGTCTTTTATTTTCAGTGCGACTTTCAAAAGGATTGAACCGAGCCAACATCTGATGATAAGTATATGGAAACAATCCAGATGTCCAACTACAGATGCATAAAGCAGTTCTGCATGCACAGCGGAGTACTATGCAGCTCTGACAAAGAACAGAAATCATGCAGACATACAATGATAAGAATACTGGTTGGGCGGTCATTGTGTTTTTCCCTCCTGCCCACCCAAAACCAGAAAGATATTGTCATTCTCCTACTCTTCTAGTCTCTTGTTATGCATCCAAAAATCAGCAGCTCTTTGCAAAGAGACTCTGGCTAATGTATCTTGGTGAGATTATTTCTCTGGACGGTAGTCCACCATTCCATGATTGTGAAGCACGTCCACTGGGTAGACCCGAGTTTCTTTTTCTCTCCTGTTTTTGAGATGCTGGGTGGGTGAATCATAGCAAGGCATCCGGAAACTTCCAGAAGGACAGGGAAGTGTTTGATGAGACATTCCTCCTGCATGTGGCAGTTTCAAGGGGCCTGTTTTTCAAACCAGTGCTTTTTTGGGGGGAAGGAGGACACCCAAAGGTGCCACTGAATTTTGAAATCTGCGAAAACAAAAGTTGAGTAAGAAAGGAGGAAGGATGGAAAGAAAGAGAGGAAAGGAAGAGAGAGAAGAAAGGATGGAGGGAATAGAGGGAGGGAATGAAGGCGAGGAGGAAGAAAAGGGAGGAAAACTGGAGAAGGAGGAAATGGAGAAAAAGAAGAAAGGAGTGAATAGAGGGAGTGAAGGAAGGGAAGGAAACTCGTCTCTCATCCATGTCCAAAGAAGACACACATACGTGGCCGATAGGTATGTGGACAAATGGACAAGTTCCCATCGTCACTTGTGATTAGGGAAACGCAAGTTGGAATCACAGTGACATAACCTGACGTCCTCGAGTTGATGGCCCCGATGGGGAAATCAAGAAGTAGCTAGAGGTGGTGGGACCCTGGGATCCCAGGAGCCTCACCCCAGGGCATGTCATCTGCTTTGCCCTCCACGAAGGCAACATAATGACAACTCCAAAGAACAGGCAGAAAGCTCACCCAGCCGTGTCACTGCCGGGCTTCTCTCCCCCGAAGAGAGAAACACTGATTCTCCAGAATTGGTCCTCACTGATGTCCGTTGTGCGCTCAGTACAATAGGCAAGAGACGGAAACAGCCCGCGTGCACAACAGTGGATACGAGGATGGAGGAGTCGTCGCAGAGCGGAATACTACGAATGACAAAATTGTGAAGTTTGCAACCGCATGGATGGAATGAACAGAGATTGTGCTGAGTGACGTCAGCCAGAAGGAGAGAAGGACAGACAAAATAATCTGTCGTGTGGGATGTAAACACACACACACACACACACACGCACACAGACCCAGGGAGCAACCAAGGGCCAAAGACGACACAGCGTTAGAAATCTGAGTCTGGGGCTGTGGGCATGAGACGGAGGGATATGGGGGTTCTTGCAGGGGGATTGTCTTTGCTTGTTCGTCTGCTGGTGGATTTATAAATTTCAAAAAAGGCTTAACGGAATATATATATATATATATATATATATATATTGAACTTTGCAGTATTTACAGCTCACGCCTATCACAAATCTAAATTATGTATGCCAAGCAAAGGCGTGTGGAAAAAAAAACAAAGCTGGCCTTTTAAGTATCTAAAACTCAAGTTTTCAAAACATCACTTAATCACTTAACTTCCCGTTAGTCGTCGATTTGCTCGAACGGGCGCCAGTAACGTCTCCATTTGTCCCTGTCGCGTGCTAGTGTCGCCCAATGGCATCTGTTCACTCTGGGAACATGAAGAGCCTCAAACCGATCGTTCATGATCTTGACGAAGAAGTCTGACCATCTGGTAGGTGGGCGGCCACGCGGTCTTTTGACATCCCGTGGGATCCAGTCGGTAACAGCTCTAGTCCAGCGGTCGTCTTTAAATCTCATCACGTGACCAGCCCATCTGATTTTCGACTCCTTGGCAAATGAGACAGCATCCCTGATTCTTGATCGTCGACGGATGTCGGAACTCCGGATTCTACCTCTCATTTGAGTGAACTGTGATCCTCCAAGCATAGCTCTTTCGATTCCTCTTTGGGAGACCCGAATAGCGTTCTCATCCTGTTTGCGTAGGGACCAGGTCTCTGAGGCATATATTAATGCAGGAAGAACAGTGGAATCAAAGAGATGTGCCCAGAGCCAGAGGTTCTTCGTCCTCTTAGCTATTTCTTTGATGTTCTTGATGTTTCTTCAAAACATCACCTCCAGAAATTCTAAGGCTCCTTAAGTGATGACTGTGTTGTTGGGACACATTTCTGTGAGAAACCATCATTAACAGGACTGTAAATATGCAGTCAATAAAACCCTAAATCATTGCCATTTTTTTTTTCTTTTTTTGCTTTTTGGGTTACACCTGGCAATGCACAGATCCTTCCTCCTGGCTCATGCACTCAGGAATTACTCCTGGCGGTGCTCGGGGGACCCTAGGGGATGCTGGGAATCGAACCCAGGTCGGCCGCGTGCAAGGCAAACGCCCTACCCGTTGTGCTATCGCTCCAGCCCCTCATTGCAATATTTTTAAAAAGCAAGACCCCATCTCTCCAGCCATCTGTACTTGCCCCACTCGCTTCAGGGGTTCCATGAGGGACTCGGTTGCCGGCTGATGGCCCCTGGCCCCTGACCACCTGTCTGCCTTCTCTCTCCTCCCCGCTGAGTAGAGATCTCGTCCGGAAGTTGCTGGTAGTGGACAGAACCAGGAGGCTCGGAAGCATGAAGGTCAGTGTGTGTGTGTGTGTGTGTGTGTGTGTGTGTGTGTGTGTCCAGCTCCCTCTGGGTGGGGAGTGGGGATTCTCCCCGAGGTGTAGACCACGGATATGTCCGTGTGCAGAAGCACACACAGACACACAGACCCCAGGCAGAGAGGGCACTGTGGGATGATGTCACTCATCCTGGCTACAGGCAACCTGGATAACAGGATAGTATGCAGCTCTAACAAAGAACAGAATCATGTTCAGCCTCAGGTGACTTCCCCCCAAAGTGGGCCACGTGGAGGGGCTGGCATCGATAGTTCAAGCCCAAATTTCCATGGTCTGTCCTCTGATTAGACAGAAACCAATGAAAATGGCCAACATTTAAACAGGTGGTACCCTCGGATCTCATCCCAGGTCCTCTGGGCGCTAGCGGAGGCATCTGAATTGTCATGGTTCTTCCTCTTGGGTCCCGCCCATACAAGACGATGCTTTGGTGGCCGTTCTGCAGGCAGCCAATGAAACACAAGATGACTTCCACCTCCCATAGTTTCTCACGCTCCGGAGCGAGAGGCCCGAATACCTCAGTCTGACCCGTGGCTATCGAGACGAACGAAGGCAGGGAGAATCTTGAGTGTTCGATGTTTGCTTTCCTCCTGAACCCCTGTCCCTGACAAAGCCTGTCGCTTCAATTTTTTAAATTTTTTAAAATTTCTTTTATTGAATCACCATGAGACACAGTTACAAGCTTTCATGCTTGAGTTTCAGTCATACAATGATCCAACACTCATCCCAGTCAGTGCCCATTTTCCACCACCAATGTCCCCAATATACCCCCCGATCCCACCCCTCCCCCTGCCTCCATGGCAGACAATTTCCCCCATCCTCTCTGTTTTGGGGCATTATGGTTAGCAGTACAGACACGGAAAGGTCATCCCGTTGGGTCCTTGATCTACTTTCAGCACACATCTCTTATCCCGAGCGACCCCTCCAACCCTCACTGACTCAGTGACCCCTTCTCCATCCCAGCCTGCCTCCTCCCCCGCAGCTCATAAGTCATAGGTCTGTTTCTTTTGCAGAATGGGGCTGATGACATCAAACGGCATCGGTGGTTCAGAACGGTGGATTGGGAGGCCGTCCCACAGAGAAAGATGAAGGTTAGAAAGCTCTGTTTCTTCTCAGGGGCGGTCCACTGGGTGAGACGGGGTTGATGAATGTGGTCCGTTGAATGGATGGGCTTCATTGGATGGAGTCATTGGGTGGATGTGGTCCATTGGGAGGAGTTATTGAGTGGACGTGGTCCATTGGTTGGATGTGGTCCACTGGGTGGGGGCATTAAAAGGATGCGGTCCATTGGTGAATGGTGTGGCCCATTGGATGGATATACGCTACTGGGTTGAGGCATTGAGTGGATGTGTTCTGTCGGACAGAGGCATGGAGTGACTGTGTTCCACTGGGCACATGTGGTCATTTGGGTGGGGGCGTTGGATTGATGTGGTCCATTGGTTGATTGTGATCTGGTGGATGGATGTGGTCTATTGGATGAGTATGGTCCAAAGGATGGATGGGGTTCATTGGGTGGATGCATTGAGTGTGCGTGGCCCCCTGAGTTGATATGGTCCCTTGGGTGGGTGTGGTCTGGTGGATGGATGTGGTCTTTTGTATGGGTGTGGTCCACTGTTGGATGGAGTCCATTGTGTGAATGCATTGAGTGTATGTGGCCTCCTGAGTTGATATGGTCCATTACGTGTATGTAATCTGGTCCACTGAGTCGATACGGCCCATTGGTTGGATGTGGTTATTGGTTGCATGTGGTCCCTTAGATGAATGTAATCCATTGGGTGGATGTGGTTCACTGGGTGGTTGTGGTCCATTGGATGAATTTGGGCCATTGGATGAATGTTGTCCATAGGATGAATGTGGTCCATTGGATGAATTTGGGCTATTGGATGAATATGGTCCACTGGATGAATATGGTCCAGTGGATGAGTATGGTTCACTGGATGAATATGGTCTGTCACTGTCACTGTCCTCCCGTTGTTCATCGATTTGCTCGAGCAGGCCCAGTAACGTCTCCCTCGTGACAACTGTTACTGTGTTTGGCATATTGAATACACCAGGGGGAGCTTGCCAGGCTTTGCCATGCAGGCAAGATACTCTTGGTAGCTTGTCAGGCTCTCCGAGAGGGGTGGAGGAATCGAACTCAGGTCGGCCATGTTGGCCGCTTGTAAGGCAAACGCCCTCCCCTCTGTGCTATCGCTCCAGCCCGAATATGGTCTATTGGATGAATATGGGGCATTGGATAGGTGTGGTTCTTTGGGGTGATATCATCTATTAGTTGGATGGGGTCCATTGGGTGGAAGCACTGAATGCATGTGGACCGTTGGTAAGATGTGTTCTGTTGGATGATACGGTCTTTTGGACGAGTGTGATCCACTGGGTGGAAGGAATCAATTGGGTGGAGGCATTGAATGGATGTGGTCCATTGGCACGTGGGTGTGGCCCATTGGATGGATATGGCCCGTTTGGTGGATGTGGGCCATTGAATGGAGGATTGGATGAATGTGTTTCATTGGATGATGTGGTCCTTCGGATGGAGGCATTGGATTATGTGGTCCATTTGGATGGAGGACTGGATGGATGTGGTCCATTGGATGGAAGATTGGATGATGTGGTCCGTTGGATGTAGGCATTGGGTGGATGTGTTCCATTGGATGGAGGCATTGGGTGAATGTGGTCCATTGGATGGAGGCATTGGATGATGTGGTTCGTTGGATGGAGGACTGCATGGATGTAGTCCATTGGATGAAGGATTGGATGGATGTGGTCCATTGGATGGAAGATTGGATGATGTGGTCCGTTGGATGTAGGCATTGGGTGGATGTGTTCCATTGGATGGAGGCATTGGGTGAATGTGGTCCATTGGATGGAGGCATTGGATGATGTGGTCCATTGGATGGAGGACTGCATGGATGTAGTCCATTGGATGAAAGATTGGATGGATGTGGTCCATTGGATGGAAGATTGGATGATGTGGTCCGTTGGATGTAGGCATTGGGTGAATGTGGTCCATTGGATGGAGGCATTGGATGATGTGGTCTGTTGGATGTAGGCATTGGGTGAATGTGTTCCATTGGATGGAGGCATTGGGTGAATGTGGTCCATTGGGTGGAGGATTGGATGGATGTGGTTCATTGGATGAATGTGGTCACTGGTGTGATTGGTCCATTGGGTGATTGGTCCATTGGGTGATTGGTCCATTGGGTGTTTCTGACCCATTGAGTGGAGGCTGTGGGTGTATGTGGACCTTCCTCGGGGACCGTCTTCTTCCCCGTGTGTGAATGTCAGCCTGCTGGAGGCCGTGTGAATTCCGTCGTGCTCACGGATCTCCTTGCAAGCTGCCCACATTTGGAGGCCCACACAAGACCCCCGGCGTGCTCGGGTTCCCTTCAAAGATTTCCGTCCGTCGGTTACCATAGGGCAGCACCGTCCTCACCCAGCACCCGCCCAACTTCCGTTTCTCCTTCTGCCCCTCAGCCTCCTATCGTGCCGAAAGTGTGCGGCGAGGGCGACAGCTCCAACTTTGAAGCCTACCCCGACAACGAGTGGACGGCGGCCCCTCCCGTGTCCCCCACAGATCTGGAAGTCTTCGAGAACTTTTGACGACCGCCCACGGCCAGCGGTGCAAAGTAGGTCTCTGCGGTCATGCAGATGTCCCAACGGACGGGAGGCTGGAGAGACGCGATGGTACAGTGGGTCGGGTGCTCACCTCGCACGTGCCCAACCTGGGTTCGATCCCCGACACTCCACATATAGGGTCCCTCGAGCAGAGTGCAGCGCAAGGAGTCAGCCCTGAGCCGTGTTGCCTCTGGCCCCCCAAACAAAAACACAAAACAGAAGTCAGAGCTAAAATAAATACACCCAGCTGGTGAGAGCCTTCCTGCAGGCTGGGTTTGACAGTGACGGGGATTCAGTGATGGGCGTCCCAGTTGTCTGTGTCAGAACCATTATTATTATTATTATTTTTATTTTAGGATCACACCCGGCGATGCACAGGGGTTCCTCCTGGCTCTGCACTCAGGAATCACTCCTGGCAGTGCTCAGGGGACCCTATGGGGCACTGGGAATCGAACCCAGGTCGGCCGCGTGCAAGACAAACGCCCCATTTTTCTTGTGTTCCTGCAGCATCTTGATGCCGGGCGCCCGCCTTCTTGCAACGGGCCCGAGGGACGTTGCTGGCCCAGCTGCTCATCCGTCAGTGCTCTGCCTTGGGAACGGTGTCTGCCTCGGCTCCTGGCTTCGGAAAGTGTGCGGAAGTCGGCCGTACAGTAGGACTTGGGGCTCAGGGGTCTGTGTCCAGCTGGGATGCCCGGCTCTTTCTCATGGACTTCGACGTCGGCGTCAGACCTGCATGGATATTTACGTGTGTGTGTGTGTGTGTGTGTGTATGTCTGTGTGTGTGTGTGAGAGAGAGAGAGAGAACTTCACTGCACCCTGAAATGCTTCCTGCTGTGTCTGCATCCAGCAGGGACGCCCGACTCTTTCTCACGGACTTTGCCTTGGACATCAAGCCTACATGGATATTTGTGTGTGCGTGTGTGTGTGTGTGTGTGTGTGTGTGTGAGAGAGAGAGAGAGAGATATTCACCGCACCCTGAAATCCTTCCTGCTGGGTCCGCGTCCAGTAGATATATATATATGTGGCTCTTTCTCACACAGACTTCAACGCTGGGATAAGACCCCATGGAAAATTGTGTGTGTGTGTGTGTGTGTATGTGTGTGTCTGTATGTGCATGTTTGTGTTTTGAGACCTTCACCGCGGCCCCAAATCCCTCCTACTGCGTCTTCATCCAGTAGGAATGCCGAGCTCTTTCTCACGGACTTCACCTTGGACATCAGACCGGCATGAATATTTGCTTGTGTGTGTGTGTGTGTGTATGTGTGTGGTACGTGTGTGAGAGAGAGAGAGACCTTCAACACACCCCGAAATCCTTCCTGCTGCATCTTTGTCCAGTGGAGACACCTCACGGACTTCGACTTCAACATCAGACCCACATGGATATTTGCGTGTGCGCACGTGTGTGTGTGTTTGTGTGTGTGAGAGAGACACCATCACCGCACCCCAAAATCTTTCCTGCTGGGTCTGCATCCAGTAGATACAACTGGACTTCCTCATGGACTTCGACATCAACGTGCGATCCCATGGATATTTGCATGTGTGTGTGTGTGTGTGTGTGTGTGTGTGTGTGTGTGTGTAAGACCTTCACCACACCCTGAAAGTCCTTCCTGCTGCGTCTTCGTCCAGTGGGGACACCCGGCTCTTTCTCACGGACTTTGCCTTTGACATCAGACCCACATGGATATTTGTGTGTGTGTGTGTGTGTGTGTGTGTGTGTACACAATGGGGGTGGTGCTAAAAGCCAGGGAGGCCATGCCCGTCTCCTTCTTGCGTCCCCACACTACTGTGTCTTTCCTCCCCCACAGTGAGCTCCTGTGGGCTGCGCCACGGACCCCCAAACCCCCCCGCCGGCCACATGCTGGCTTTGCATGGCAAGCACGGGTTCAAACCACTGAGCTGCCTTTCTGGCCCTGAAAGAGACCTGGGCGCCTGTCTCCTGGAGATGGGCGCTTCTCTCTGTCTTCATTGTAAGTCGGAGAGAAGAAAAAAAAAAATAAAGAGAAGGAAGGAAAGGAAAGAAAGAAAAGAAACAAAGAAACAAAAAAGAAAGAAAGGAAGAAACAAAGAAACAAACAAAGAAACAAACAGAGAAACAAAGAAACAAACAAAGAAACAAAGAAACAAACAGAGAAACAAAGAAACAAACAGAGAAACAAAGAAACAAACAGAGAAACAAAGAAACAAACAGAGAAACAAAGAAAGAAATCATTATGGAATATATAATCCATTGACTTTTTTTTTTGCTTTTTTTGGGTCACACCCAGCGATGCACAGGGGTTACTCCTGGCTCTGCACTCAGGAGTTACTCCTGGCGGTGCTCAGGGGACCCTATGGGATGCTGGGAATCGAACCCGGGTCGGCCGCGTGCAAGGCAAACGCCCTACCCGCTGTGCTATCTCTCCAGCCCCCATTGACTTTTATTTAAGGGAAGAAACCGGCTTTTCAAACACAGCCTTGAACTCTGCTATTATCTGACTGTCTTTATTCCCGATCCTTCTGCCTGATGAGTAATAAAGTCAGAGCCCGGCAGCCTCTCACTTCTGTCTTTGTTCACTGTTGAGAGTCCAGACAGTCCAAAAAAAGGAAAAAAAAAAAGAAAAAAATACGTTTCCCCAAGAGCTACGTCTATCCATCAATTCTTCACACTCAGATCCTCCGATGACTGAAGAAAAAAAAAAAACGATATTATTATGACTCCTTGTGCTGTCACTGTGGAACCTTCTGCCTAACTAATAATGAATACTAATAAAATGCCCAAGAAAGACAATCGTTAAAAGCAGCCAACAAAAACACCACTTGACTCTCTCGTCTCCAAGCTCTTGCTTTCATTATTATTATTATTTTTTATTTTTCCTCTTTGTTATTGTCCAGCATTTTTTTTCCAAACAAGATGATGACTTTGCAAATAATAATAATAATAATAATAATAATACGGCAAGAAAATGTCGCTGTTCCTTCAATGTATTGCCACCAGCCTGGCAAAATGGCAAAATGGCAAGCCCGGGTCGGCCACGTGCAAGGCAAACGCCCTCCCCGCTGTGCTATGGCTCTGGCCCCAAGGACGTGGGTTTGAGCACAGCCCACCGTGGTGCAACGTGCCCCCAAGATAAGACAGGACAAAGGGGGCTGGAGAGAGACTCAACCACTTGCCTGGCAAACAGCACAGCGGGACACCCGCTCCTGCGTCCCTCAGGCATCGTCCCTTGAGCTCTGCCAGGATCCCGCACACAGCCAGGAGATGTTAGCCCTGATGGACAAGTGGGTTGGACCCTAACCACCCCCCAGCCTCTCAGCACACTCCTACGGAAAAGGCAAACGGGACCAGATCCACAGTGGAGATTGGGCATCTCGGGGGCTGGTCCTGAATTGCCCAGAACGGCAGCTGGGCATCCCAGGGACCAAGAAGGGTCCACATGCCTCCCCCCACCCATCAAACTTTGGGGATATGTCTAGCAGTCAGCAACGACGACTGTCCAGCTGTTGGCCTCTGCCTCCAGCCAACGGCAGATTCTTCCTCCCCGCGCGGAGTTGGAATTTTGCCTCCCGACAAGAGGTATACCTTCACGGTGCCCCGAGCCCGCCTAGACCACCTCCGACAACCGGGGGGCACTTCCTGTCTTCCTCTTGGAGAATCCGCAGCTGCCCTGGACAGACGGTCCAACAATTTGTCACATTCCCGGGGACCCACGCAGTCTCCAACCCTCCTGGGCTCCAAAGGGTCACAGATGCTACAAATGCAGTTCCCCTTGGATAGGGAAAGGAATGAAGGTGTGTGTGTGTGTGTGTGTGTGTGTGTGTGTGTGTGTGTGTGTGTGTAGAGGACTATTCTGGGGCTGATCTTTCCCACCGGGCATCAAACAATCGGACATCCTCAGGGAATCTCTCTGTCTCTGTCTCTGTCTCCATCTCTCTCCTTGTGGGCAATGCAGTTGGCCGTATGATTCGCCTCTTGTTTGGGGGACGCCTCGCGTGGGTCACGGTTCCCGGCCCGTTTGCAAGCCCTGGACATCTCTCTCCCCCCCATGCCCCCCACCCTGTTTGTAAAGGACATGAGAAGTCTTTACTTAGGGGGAAGACACAGCCCACTTAGCAAAGCAAAAAGAAAGATCACAGTGAACAAATGGAAATCAGCACAGGGAAAGTGCTTAGCTTGGACACGGCCAACCCTGGTTGCTACCCTGGCAGGCATCCCGCGGGGTCCCCCTGAGCACCGAGCCACGAGGGACCCCCGAGGGCAGAAACCCTACTGAGCAAAGAAAAAAAGACTCAGACCGCAACTACAGCGCCATCTGCGGTTTCTGAATAGTTTGGGCTGTGGTGTGTCTGTGTGTGTGTGTGTCTGTGTGTGTCTCTGTGTGTGTGTCTGTTGGCAGGGCTGTGCTGTCCGGAAATTGGAGGAGATTTTGCTCGTTTTTCCCCAAACACAGTTTTCCGATTCAGCTTGCTTTTTCAGAAACGGGGCGTTTTTTTGGACGGTTGTTCGGGTTTTTTTTTTTTATTGCATCCAAGGGAACCGTCTTTCCTCGTAAGAAAATAAAAGTGGTAGTGAAGGGGTGTGTGTGTGTGTAGGGGGGATCTGTCTGAGAGAGTTCTGGAGAAACGCAGGGCTTTCCGGACCATCGGGGAGGGGGCTGGGGTGTGGACACTGGCGCTGTGGACAGAAGAGAGACCCCCGGACCCCTCACCCATCAGCCTTTTGCACAAGTGTCTTACCTTCCTTCTCCCTCACGCTGGGCTCTAGCCATGGCGGCTGTGGGGGGGTTGTGAGTGCCTTTAGGAAGCTCCACCCACCTCCCTGTGTTCTTCCTAGCTTCTCATTTTTTTTGTGTGTGGGGAGGAGGGAAAAAAAAAAACACCTTAAAAAAGCCTGTTTCTAAATCCTTGCACAATTGAAAGGAAAGAAAAAAAAATCACTGTGATTTGTATTTATCTACTCTAGGAAAAATCGTACTGCTTAATTTATGTAATCATACTCATGATTCCAGGTTTGTTCAATAAAAAAAGAAAAGACAAGAAAAGAAATTTGTATCTTTTACGAGGCCTCTGTTGGATTCTGCGGGAACAAGCTTTTCTGGCCTCGTAAAGCCCCAACGGTTCTGTCGGAAGGAGCCAAGTGACCCGTGTACGGGGGTGTTTCATCTGCAAAGCGTTGGGTTCCGAGATCTGCTCCTTTTCAACACGAGACAACACAGCTTGCTTCTCAGCCTTTTGCCAGCCCTTTTTTTTTTTTACTTCTTTCCTTCCTTCCTTCCATCCCTTCTTCTCTCCAACCGTCATCCTGGGCACTTCCTTTCCGTGATGCATTGAAATATTCTGGTACCCTGGTTCCAGAGTCCATTGACGGATCTGGCTGTTGGAAACATTGACACTGATGTCATCAGTGGGATCACAGAGGCCTCCTGATTGGCGGGTGGGTGGATGGTTTCCCTTTCGGAGGGAGGGAGATGGGTCTCCACTACACTGTGTTCCGGGCTGAGCTCTGCTTTTTGTTGCTTTGAGATCAATTTCAGGGTGCCGTGGGGGTCTCTGAACCCCAGTCGACCGCATGCATGGCCAGTGCTCTCTCCGGTATCGTTGCGGGGAAAGTCACGTTGCATTATAATATT